ACGATTTTCAAGCATTTCTAAGAAATGATTAAGCTTCAGTAATCATTTATTTATTTACCTATTTGGGCATTTAAACATCCTACTAAAATCATTGTTACATATTTACTAGTACATGTACATGTATGTATCAGGAACGTTTTAAACAACTTCTAAGAAAGTAAAAATTAATTTCATATAATAGTGCGTTACCAATTTTAGCTGGTGAATTTTCCCATAATTACCACTGAAAAAGCATTCTGAGAGTATTGCATAAGCAATACTAGTCCCCTACTGGCAAGTGTAATCTGGTTCCCGTAAAAAAACTGAAAATGCCATAATTCCGTCAAAAATCAATGAAGCGGAATGAAATGCGAACTTGATCTATAACTCATCAAGGTAAAGTCACATGCCAAAAATCAGCTCAATATCTGCAAGCGTTTAGAAAAAAAGTGCGGAAAACCCTGAAAAATTGAAAAGGCCGTTATTCCGTCAAAAATCACTGAAGCGGAACGAAATGTAAACTTGATCTGTAACTCATCAAGATACACTCACATGCAAAAAATCAGCTCAATATCTGCAAGTGTTTAGAAAAATAAAGTGCGGAAAACCAAGTGGGACAGACTGACAGACAGACAGAGGGACTAATAAGGAAGTGTAAATTGATGTTTATGATATATGTAAGGAATGAATTTTGGAATTTTTCCTTATAAAATACTCACACACTGCTGAAAACACCATAAATTTATTTAATGAAGGATCAATGGCATGTCAAAAAAACGTCTGAATACTTACGACTTGGTAGACAATAGTTTGCATCCGATATGCACACTTTTGTTTCTTTTTATGTAATTGAACTTCATGTTATATTTTAGTTGATGAAAAGTGTCTAGAACTGTTGCCAGCAAAATACAAATATGCTTTTAATTATGGTATCCCAAATGACAAGATGCACTCTTCATTTGAAGGATCTCATGGAGCAACAAGATGGTTTATCAAAATTGAAATAGGACTACCTATGACATATTCTAATATTGTCAAATACAAATGTTTCATATATCTAGATAAAGTAGATATAGACCTGCCACTTTATGCAGTAAGTTTTTCCTGTTTATAAAATATACAAGTAGATTTATTTGGACTTAAATTTACATGTATGTGATTTGCACTAATTCATTCTAACTTAAAACTGTCCCATGTTGCAAGTTGTACTAAATAATTTATGTATATGTATTAACATACTTTTCTTAAAAATAGAAACCACTTGTTAAAAGTAAGGAGAGGAAAATTTCAAAAGCCTTTGGGATTGGAGATGCTGGTGTGATAAAGATTACAGCTAGTATTGACCGATCTGGATTCTGTCCTGGAGAGCATGCATTTCTTACATTGAGCAATTGAGCAATAATCTAAATACCATTTAATACCTGGCATAATTTGAAGAAACAAGAGACTAAGGGGCAACAATGTTCACCTAAGTAACCTTAACCTGCTCTTCTTCAGAAGATTGTTTTACGTTGATTTTTTCCCTCCATATTCTCATGAAAAATATTGAATCTTCTTCAGAAGAGATTAAGAAGATTTTTAATTTTTTTTTTCATTCATGACCTCCAGGGGTAAGGTGGGGCTCTACTGTATTTGCATAAAACACTGGGATCGTACCTGGTCAATTCCAGGGTTTGGGGTGTTCAAAATTAATTGATTGGAAATAATTGGTATGATTCTAGTGGACTGCCGAAATATACAAATTAATCCTAACCTTATCTTGGTAAATGATAATCAAATAGTTCTCGAGTGATGCAGATTCAAATTTTTCAAATTATGCCTCCAGGGGTAGAGTGGGACCATAATAGAAGATCAAAGTTTTATATGGAAATATATAATATAGGAAAAATCTTTAGAAATCTTCTCAGGACAGCTGGGCGATGTTTAATTATATTTATATGCAAGCACTCTCTGGTATTGCAGAATCAAGGTTGTTCAAAACATGACACCTAGGGGTACCATTTGGCCACAATAAGGGATACATATTATTTAAAATAAGAATATTGGGGGGTCTTCTACAATCTTCTCAAGCATTACTGGGATGATTGATTTTATTAGGTAGCAAACATCCATAAGAAGTTCATATCAAGGGATATGAATGAGGTATCCCCAAGGAGTTGTAAAAGCTTCTAGGAAAGTAAAAATTAATTTCATATAATAGTGCGTTACCAATTTTAGCTGGTGAATTTTCCCATAAAAATATAGGAAAAAAATCTTTTATTTTTTTTTTCAACAAATACCAGAACATGAATATTCATGTTAAGAGGCAAGCATTCTCAGGTAGTGTAGATTCAGATTTGTTCAAAACATAACCATAAGGGGTAGTGTTTGGCCAGAGTATGGGGACAACAGGTTTTATAGAAGTATATAGAGGAAACTTTTTTTTCTCAAAAACACCAGAGCCACTGCAACTCAGCGTACGTTTTATCCCTCTGCAACTCAGAACACAGATGAGTGTTGTTGTCCATTTGCCTTTTCTTTAAAGATTTTCCCTAAGGCCAAAGGCCACAAGGTCAGTATAACCCTGGTATTTTACATAAGCCATTGTTCCAAGCAATATATAAGCAAAAACATAAAATCCCTATCTCTAACTGTTCTTAAGACGTACCTTGTGACAGATTGACAGATACCGGTAGATCCTTAAGTGTCGCTCTGTTCTGCAGATGACACAAAATAAAACTAGATTAAGATACTAAACTGTTATTTCAGAATTCCTAATTTTCGAATTTTCCTGCCGCGGTTTTAAAATTGATCGTACTCAGAAGATTTTCTTGAATATCGGCTAAGTTTGGAGATATAAACACCAAAATTTATTGTTTCTATAAAGTGGAGGTTACAAATGAAGCTACAAAAAAGACCTTGGGCAACCAACAGCTACAGTAGTACAGGAAATGGAATTAAAAGGCAATTGTGAGAGTCAAAGAAAACCTAGGGAGTGTGACTGGTAGCAAATTGAACAAGGCAAGTTTACAAACATAATGCACTCATAAAATATTCAATTATATACCTACATGGTATAATTAAATATTTTTTTTACGATAAATCACTGCTATAGGGAAAACAAGAGATGGAATAAACAGGAGATAATCATTGATGTGGTACCTCCAACATCTCCACTCAGATCGTCGTACTGCATCAAGTGCTCCTATTACATTGAGGTAATGAACACATTTATCACATTTTCAACAGTGAAATACTGTGATTTATTCATTGAATAAAAGTGATATTCTCTCACAGTGTGAAAGGTTACCGAAGTGATATTCTCTCACAGTGTGAAAGGATATCAAAGTAAGTAAAATATAATTTCTGGCCTATAATAAGATTGAGATAGTAACTAAACCATCTTGACAGAGACTAAAACTGCCAATTTCTTCCAAAATATGTTGCTAAAATCCATGTTTTCATCTCACAACTGCTAAGCCATGTCTCAACTGCTCAACTATGACGTCACAGCCTACAGTGTATTACATTGTGTTAAGAAAAGACAGAGGCAAAGGGAAACTCAAAGAAAATGTAATAAATAGAAAATTCAATGTTTTGTAATTGGATATGGAATTTATTTCACTCGTGAGACAGGATTTTTTTTATATTTTCACTCGTGCTTTGCACTCGTGAAAATATCAAAAAATCCTGTCCCACTCGTGAAATAAATTCCATATCCAACTACAAAACATTGAATATCCTCTATGTATATCTCCATATGCTCTTATTTGCATACACCAGTTATCTGACTGGAAGTTGAAAATCTACATTTCTTTTTGTGCATTGACATATTTACTAACATTTCAGTGTTCCCACTGTGAAAACTCTAGCATAATGTAACACAAAAAGCTAAAGTTGTAGGAATATTGAATTTGAGCATTTTTTTTACTGTCACCTGCAGTCAAATCAACACTTCAGGATTGCTGTACCCAGCATCTGTCTGTCTGTCCATCCATCTAACCATCTGTCTGTCATACCTTATATCTTGAGCACTGTAAGATGGAGGAATTTGATATTTTGCTTATATATATATATATATATATATATATATATATATATCATACACTTCAAATAAAGTGTGGGACTGACAATACGCAGTAGAGACAAAGTCATCCTCGAAAGCCAGAGGTCCTGAGTCAACCCGTTGCCGTTGGACCCCTGGCATATTTCATTCAATATTTGTGGCCTGACTGTAGCGACGTCTTTCGCAAAAATTACAAAACTCTATTGTTTTTCTTATCTCTCAACCAATCACATTAAGCCATTCTATGATAAACAACTTGTAACACGTGCATTTGAGGTGTCAACTGAATCCTTATCTAACTATTTACGAAAGCCATCTTTGGGTAGACTTTACTTTACCGGTCCCCAGATCCGCAAGATCCACGCGCTCATTGCACTATGACGTAAGATTTACGTCACTCAACTGATAGTCTTGCACATTTTTTGACTGGTTAGGGTCAGTCTTGCACCCACCTGAGAGATTAGGGTTAGTCCTTTCACAAGTTTTCAACTGATTAGGGTTAGCCTACGGCGACACTATAATTTAGCGCGTTTTTCTGGGGACCGGTAAAGTTTAATTTGATTGGTGCTTCTCGATGAGAGAAGCAAGCCCACGAATATTGAATGAAATATGCCAGGGGTCCAACGACAACGTGTTGACTCAGGACCTCTGGCTTGCGAGGATGAAACAAAGTCAAAATATTTTTGTTGTTGTTATGAATCTGAGAGATAGCTGTATTAAATAAGTATTAAAAACAATTCAAAAAATCAGTACGTAATTATTTCTAATGATTTAAAGGACTATGTTTAGTTATGACCAAAATCAATCTGATTAAAATACAGATCTCTTCATAGCGCAAAGCGCAGAGAGATCTGACAACGACCCATTGAGGGTCATGTTCCGTGACGTCAGAATGAACTTTATTATTTGCATGAAAGATAAATTTATTAACCAATCACAATACTCGTTACGAAGTTGGTTGTAACATTGTTTCAAAATGGCGTCGAAAGAAGAAGTATCAGCTGCGTTTGAAGAAATTAAAGAAAATGTTGGTTTAGATGCACTAAAAAGCGAGCAATTAGACATCCTGACATCGATTATTAGGAACGAAGATTGTGTAGGCGTGTTACCGACAGGATATGGCAAGTCTTTACCATACCAGGTAGCGAAGGGTGTTTGCGAACAAGTTGGGAAAAGAATTCCATAAGATCATCGTATGCTCCCCGCTCATTTCCCTGATGCAGGACCAGGTGGCTCGCTTACAGAAATTTGGAAATGGTCTTAAAGTTATGTATAAAGGTATTAAACTTAAGGTTTATTCTCCCTCAACGACAGTCCTTCAAAATGTAAATTGATTTAGTGTTAAATCCAGACCCTAAAAAAGGCATGGTAATCCAATTATCAAAAGGGCACTTTATGCCGCAACAAGTTTTCATGAGGGCACTTTTTTTAACGTCTTTGAAATTATAAACATTTTCTTTATCATGTTTATGTACTTAAAATTATTATTGTTAAATTATTATCAAGGTTATGCTTAAAAATTAATAGGTGTGAATCTTTTTGTCACTTGCACACAAATTATTTTAGTTTGGGGTATGAATTTTTTTCCATACTTTAATATTGTTATTTGTGTATGAGGTAAATAACAGAACAAATTTTGCAAAGGGGGTGGGGCTACTTGGATAATAAATGTAGAGGGCATTCTCTTTATTTTGAAAATAATCTACCAACAAAGTCAAGTGAAAAGTGATCATACTAAAAAATTAAACTTGAAATAATATATAAATTGGTTAAAACTTTTTTTTCTAGCTTAGAAACATTGAGCCTCTGGGTGTCAACTCAAAAAGTTAGAACACAGAATCATTGAACATGTTGAAAGAAACTAACTTCATACTTTGTTGTTTCCTAGCCCATTTCACACATATAATATTCAGTTTTTTTTGGTACAGTGTACATTGTAAGTAGTCTTAATTTATCAGCAGTTTTATTTTTCACATTTCTTCATCAACTCTGTTTTTCTACTTTCAATTTAAAAAAAAATGATCCTGATTTAAAATGTGTAACATTTTAATTAACAAATTAATCTATCTGTGACATTGGGCCAATTCTTGCATAATCAATGCAATCAAATGATATTTTCTAGTGTTATCTTTTATACCCTGACAGCCTGAGGCATGTTACCTGGCCAGGTGGCTGTGTGCGTTCAAGCGAGAAGTGATTTCCTGTCCTGAATTCACACCTTTGCGTGCATTAAATAAACAAAGGGGCTAATCAGCATGCACTGAATAAACAAAGCCGCTAGTCCATCTTGCCTCTGCTAGGCATATTTATTTATTTTTGCAAGGAAAAAAGGGCATGGCGCAGGAAAAAAGGGCATGGCGCCGAGAGAAAAGGGCATGGTGCCGCGCCATGCTAGTTTGCTTTAGATTTAACACTATTGATTATCATCATTCTTAATTTTGTTGCTGTTCGCCTTAGAGTATACCTGTATACTTAACAATATTTTAGAAGTTTAATGAAATTTATTTTTATTTCCGGGGCTAAGTACTATAAAGCATTTTAATTTAAAGGATTTTTTTAAATATGAAGAATATGACCCCTAAATTGCCGTGCTGATCAGCATGGTCAGATATCTCCTTCAATAACATTGTTTGTAGTTACATAGAATAATATTATTGCAGTGATATTTGTTGCTCACTTTTTAATGACTGAAACACCATAAAATGTAGAAATCTTTGCAGTTTCTTTATATAATTTCAAAATAATTTTTTTCTGTTGGCATTGCAGTAATTAATATCACATGCCGGATGCCAAATTAAAATTTTATTCTGCATAATTCAGTGAAAAATAATGGAAATTGGTCTCACAATCAGTTTTTATAAAAAATTTTCCTTCAAAAAAATATATATTGTGGAAAAATAAAATTATGACTCGCTTATGGCAATATACTGTATGTAAAGCTGCAACATAGATGAATTTTTTTGTCAGTAAAATGATACCTGTATATTGTCCAACAGACCCTGTTTTACAATCATGACAATAGTGATTGTTTCATGTGTTGGAAATTAAAATATAACCACTTGTTAGTTCACTAGAAGTGAAATTTGAATAGAAACATATAATTTCTGGACATTTAGTTATTTAATTTTTAATCATTTTCAATTATTAATAAGGTCAAAAGGATTATTGTGCAGTGGAGGAATGTGACATCATATTTTCTTCACCAGAGCATCTTGTTGGGAATGATGATTGGAGAGGATCCTTATCGAAGCTAAAGGTCTCCTTAATAGTAGTTGATGAGTTCCATACAGTTTCTACATGGTAATTCATTCTGCACAAATGTTATATTTACATCTTAAGTAAAAAAATGTCCATTTATCACTCACTAATGAAACATTTTGAGTTTGCAGCATTTAATTTTTTTGTACTTTATTTCAGGGGAGAACTTTCCAAAAATGAACATGAAAAGGTATTTAGGCGCTGGTTTCGTTACCTTGGAGAAGTAAGAAGCATCTTTCCAGAAGCTTCCATGCTTGCTCTCAGTGCAACTTGTACAGTTGAAATTCTCAAGGAAGTGCTTCAAGCTTTAAGTATGGAGGGTGCAAAACACATAATTGTTTCTCCAGATAAGGGTAACATCAAGTACAGTGTTTTCAGAACAGGTAGAACCATGGAACCGTCTTTATTTTGGCTTATAGATGAGTTGCATGAAAATTTTGAACATTTTCCTCGAACATTAATATATTGTAACAGCATTCAAGATGTCGCAAGAGTATTTACTTATTTTAAAAAGGAACTACCAGATTGCAGTGTTATAGAAATGTTTCATTCTGAAACCAGTGATAAGAAAAAAATGGAAATAGTGACTGATCTCAGTTCATCTGAAGGTGTTCTTAAAGTAGTTGTTTGTACCAGTGCTCTTGGTATGGGGGTTGATATAAAGAACTGTCAAAACATAATATTATATGGACCACCTAGAAATGTTGTAGATCTTGTGCAGATTGTAGGTCGAGCGGGTCGTGATGGTTGTAATGCCAGTGCTTTGTTATTATGTAGTTCCTACAAAATAGGACATGTTGATAAGAATATGAAAGGAATTATTAATGATGATGCATGTCGTAGAAAAAATATTATGAAACATTTTATGTATGCTGAGGTAATGTTTGATCAGGAATTGCATAGATGTTGTGATAATTGTGCTCAGAAATGTTTATGTAAAAAATGTGAAATGCCATATTTAGAAAGTTTAGATATAGATAGCCACACTTTAAACACAAATTCACCAGATGAAAATTCAGAATCAGATAGTGACTAATATATACATGTATGTATAAACCAATTGTTGATATATTTGTTAAGATAGTTGTTTGTAAAGGTTTTCTTTAGATGATGGTTGACATCCAGAACTGTCAAAATGTTATATCAATACGACCACTTTAATTTTGTGCAAAATTTGTTTAAGCATGTTGTGTAGGAAGTAACATGAATAATGGCAATGCTTTGATATTATAATGTTGTTCATACTAAATATGTTGATAAAAAGACAAAAGAAATTATTGATGTGGAGATGTAAATCTTGTGCCAATTGTTGGTTAAGCATGTTATAATGGATATAAATCCAATTCATGCTAATGATTTCTTGTTGTGTTGTTTGAACTAAATATGACATTGATGAAAGAACGAGATGCATATTGTAGATGATGTTGAAAATTTTCCAAATGCAGAGATTATGTTTGACCAAGAACTGCTGAGATGTTTTGATAATTGTGCACAAAAATAAGCATGTAAAATATGAGAAGTGCCAGATTCAAAATTTAATTTATGTATAGTATACTTTTTATTCAGGAAGTGACAATCCACCTTCATTTTTTTTATACTCTCCGACAAAAAAATTTGGCAAATGTATACATATATATGAGATGTAGTGAATAAAATAAATAAATATAAAATCATTTATATAGCTTAATTCTCAACAATAGAGAGTTTTCTATCACAATATCAATAATCAGTGAAACTCTGTAGAAATTCTGGGAACCATCTTGTTTGTTTATGGAACCATGTCCAGAACAGAATTTTTCTAATGGAGAAATGCATGTACTGGAAATTCATTCTGGACACAAAGATTGCTCTTGCCCTGTAAGTGTCATGACTTAAATTTCAGCAAAGGTCAGTTTTGGCATGTTCAAGGGCACTGACATAATAGGTATATATATATATCTGTTTTCCAGTCATTGGAAATTAACAAGCAAATTCAAAGAATTGTGGTCCCCCGCTTTTGATGTCTTAGTGGATGGGATATCATTATTTATGGCATATTGTGTCAAATATGAACACACTATCATGTCATTCAAGTAATCATAAAAGTTAAAAATATTTAAAATTAGGGCAAGGGGCAAAAAATAATAGCATGCTTGGAAACATCTTTCAACATTTCAACTATGAAAGCCCTTTCTCTTCTCAATCAAAGTTATTAAACAAAAAATTTTTGAAAAGTAGGTCAAGGGGTCAAAATCATAGTTTATTTGGAAAGGCATTGTTACAGGTTATGTACTTGTGAAATATGAAAGCCCCATCTCTTGTCATTCAAAAATTATGACCAAGGTTAAAGTTTTTGTGACAGACAGACGGACGCACAGGATTTAATGTCCCCTCACTTTCATGAAAGTGGGGGACAAAAAATGAACACTACAGTATAATAGAGAGGTTTTGTCATGACCTCTCTGTGAGAGAGGTGAGTTGCGATTCAATAGGTGACATCCCACTTCAATGTATTTTATGTTTCTTGATGTATTTTATGTTTCATTAAGACCATCCTTGAAAAATTAAATGTTTGATAGTTGCCAGGGGATATCAGACCCAGTATGGGGAGATTTTATATTTTGCAAATTAGATTTTAAAGCTTGAAAGCTTTAAAGGAGGCAGCCATGTCTTTTTTGTTTAACACACATGATCTCCTTAATGTTTTTTTTTAAATAATCTTACATGTTTGCCTTTCCATTGTAAACAACAGAAACCAACAATTACCAGTCAAAATTTTATTCAAATGCTTCCAAAATTACCATGATTACAGCAAATTAACTGTCTTTAAAGGCTTAATTGGCTAACTGATGCAAGATTGACATTATTAGTTTATTAAAATGGTGTAACTGATTTTTATCATATACAGTAGCTATTGACCTGTATAATTTTTCATATATGTAGCAGATACTCAAATGAAGTCTAGAAGAAAATATATATGTACATCTGGTTTATTTAAGAAAATTAATGATTTTGATTGTAAATGGAAGCAATATCCAAATCCATTAAAGATAGGCATTCAATTCATTAACTAAACCAAAATCATAAAGAAAGATCTCAATTTAACAAACAAGAGGCCCATGGGCCACATCACTCACTTGAGTAACTTTGGCCATGCTGTTCTTTACCAGATTTCCCCTTGTAATACCTATTGTGCCCCCCCCCCCTACCCCCAGGGGTCATGATTTGAACAATTTAGAATCTACACTGCTTCCATATAAGTTTCAGTTTTTCTGGCCCAGTTGTTCTTGAGAAGAAGATTTTTAAAGACTTTTCTTATATATTTCAATGTAAAACTTGGATTTCCTATTGTGGCCCCGCCCTACCCCCCGGGGTCATGATTTGAACAATTTAAAATCTACACTACCCCAGGATGCTTCCAAATAAGTTTCAGTTTTTCTGGCCCAGTTGTTCTTGAGAAGAAGATTTTTTAATGACCCCACCCTATTTTTGTCTTTTCTTGATTATCTCCCCTTGTAAGGGGACTTGGCCCTTTATTTTCACAATTTACACTCCTCTTCACCAAAGGATACTTTGTACCAAGTTTGGTTAAAATTGGCCCAGTGGTTCTTGAGAAGAAGTTGAAAATGTGAAAAGTTTACGGATGGACGGACAGACAGACGGACGGCGGGTGATCAGAAAAGCTTACCTGAGCTGAAAGCTCAGGTGAGCTAATAAAACTATTAATCAATATGTGAATTAAAGGTACATAACATTCACACTCTTCTATTTCGCAGTCTTCGGAATGGCAAGGATGGTTTATGTCGCAATACCATTAAAGGAAAATTTTTGAAGCTTAAAAAGAACGGATTTCTGTTCTGTGAAAGTTTTCTGCACTGGAATTGACGACCAGGTTGTTTTTCAAATGCCTGGATGGAAATTAATTCATTAACTACTATTTTCACAATATGATGGCACATGATGAAAACCTTTCCTTCCTCGAATATCACACATGTCATCAAAATGCTGTACACTTTCTACCAAGAAAGGGAAATCTTTGGAGTGTTTAATTAGGCTTTCCTTAGTTTGATGTCCAGTTGAGGCACTTTTAATCTCTCTATTCATGAATTCGACGTATTCGTCCAAAGCCATGTTCCTGTTCTTGCCACCTGACACATTTACAAACCTGTTCTGTACAAGTCTTTCTGTTTGATCCTAGGAAAGAGTACCTGACGTAAGACTCGTTAGATGGATGCTACCAATAAGATATTTAGTTTTACCTGTCTTATTGTACAACAGAGCCTCGTACTTTGCTGATCTAACAGAGCGAGCACCATCAGCCATATCTACCGCAGAATCCAAATTCTTATGTAAGGCACATAAACGAAACACTAAGAGAATGTAATCAAAGAGGTCATCTTTTTCTAGATCTTTTGTTGCTGTGTCTTTAGTTGACTCTTTATATCCATGTTTGGCCTTTTCATGGGTTATTAATGAATCAACATTCACATATGACTTATCACAGGAATGGCATCGAAACCTTCCTTCACTAAAACTCTTTGTCCAGTAGTTCTCTGGATGCTCAGGGTTGTCTAGTACAGTTCTAACTTCAGACAGTAAATCACTTCCTTCGAAAAACCATTTCCTTACAATTTTCTGACAAATTTCACACATCCAAGAAATTTTCTGTTCAGGTAACCACTCATGAAAGTCATCTGGAACAGGGATTGTTTGTGTTCCATCTGTCAATCCGAATTCTTTTAAGAAGAGCAAACAGCAAATTGCATCAAAAATTGTGTTGTACAGCATTTTGTATGGTCTATAAGAGTTCTTGACTTCTGCTTTTACTTCCCTCGCATTCAGTTTATTTCTGAAGAAGTATGCTGTGCCTGAATCCTTTCCAGACCCTGTACTGTAGGTTAATTTGACAATGGCCTGTAATTATTAATCAGTCATTAATTTCATGGACATGTACTACAGATTCAGTTTCATTTTTTTTAATCACTCAAATCTAAAGCAAGTGAAAAATATACTAGGGAATATATTTACGACATTATGTAGCTAAAATATCATGAAAGAACTACCTCAAGAAAATTCATCAATCGATGAAAATCTTCGATCTTTGATATAAAGCCCTTAAAGCGATCTATTGCCTTCTCTCCATTAATCATTGAACACTGGGCTGCTTGTATCCTTTCATCAGTGAGTCTATCACCTTTGAAAATATCCAAAATTGAAAATTAAGAAATAGTTCTTATCTAGCCAATTTATATTTAAATTATTTTTGCCTAAAAATACAATACGTTTTTTTTTTTTTTTAATTATTTACAAAAATGATTGTGGGAATATGAGAAAAAATCAATCCTATCAAATTATAATAATTTTAAAATGCTTTCATTAACTCTTAACATATAAACAAAGTAATGAAAACCTTGATAAAAGTTATAAACGAATGTAAATTGTAGTACTTGCCTCCAAAGAAAACTGGTTCATACACATCATCATCCTTCATAGGAACATACTTTTCACTGAGGTCTTTCAACAACTTTATAACATCACCAGTGTTTTTTTCATCGCAGTCAAAAAGTCCCAAAGAAAACTGATGAAGAAAAAGGTCAATGTCATTACAATATTTTCGATGCATTAATGTATACCCATTACCCTGTTGTAAACTGTACCTCCTAAAAATATATTCTATTGTACAGAATGTAAGCTTGTTGAATTTTGAAGAATATAAAATCAAATGGTTCAAAAAAAGATGTAGAATATTTCAGCTTTAAATATGGTATATTTTAGATAAAATATATTTTTAACCTGTTTTGTTTTTAATCCTGCAAGGTGACTGTACATAGGCATGTTCATAATGTTCTGGATAAATACTTCTTAGCAAGCTATTCATTTGTTCGTTGTTGTTAATAACTGCATTGGCCACCAAAAAAGATATTTCATTTGCAAGAAGTTCCTGTTCTCCTGTACTTGGGATAAAGTCTGTAGCATTAAGATCATCTACATCTAAAATGTACATGTAATCATCACCTATCTGTTGAGGTACAACTCGGTCAATGACTCCAATTACATTAAATAAATGAACAGACACTGTTTTCTGCTGCGTTGTACGATATGATGGGACTATATTTCGGTCCCAGTTGTCACCCACAAGTTGATATTTTGGTGTTGGTAATCCCTGTGCCCAGTCATTCTTTATTTCTAGCAACTGTTTGTCTAATAACTCATGCCATGATTCCATCTTGATCCGTAGGGTCTGTGGATGTACTTTCAAACCAAGTTTAGAAATTTAGTCTTTCAATGTCCTAAAATATAATTACACTTTATGTACAATAAAGTATAAAACATTATGATGGCAACAAAGTCTTTTTAAATGTCAAAATATAATCAATTATATTATAATCATTGCGGTAACTATTGCTTAAATATAAATGAATGTTGCAGACTCAGAAATTCACATGATTTACTCAATGTACATCTGCATTAGTCTAGTTTTGTAGCCTTACCCTTTGAGTACAACTGCCATGTAACATTATGAAGCCTATCAAGTACTGGAGAGCGGTCATTTCTCGACTTCTCCCTTGGAGACATATTGCAGCTGCCAACAATGCATGATATAATTTACTGTCAGATATTGATACTGGAATGGGTGACACAGCTGCAGAGAACACTTTCAAAAGATAAGGGGCCTTAAGTTGTAATTCTCTGTGCAGTTTGTCCCATGTAAACTGCATTATATTTTCATGGGTTTTGTCTCTTAGAATTCCTCCAGAGTTTCTCTTGCAAATTTTCTCACATTCCAAACTTATCAAACTGGATGCTGCAGACACAACTGACTGTGGATGTATGGAAACTATTAATTTCAAAAGACTATCTTCAACGTCCTGGTCACGAAATAACACTTTACAGTACTTTTTCTGATATTCATCTACTATCCATTTTGACTTCGCACCACTTTGGAAGTAGTCAATCATCTAATTTAAAACATGAAGGAGAGACAGTTTTGTACTTTTCAATAAGCTCTGTGCCTTTACACAAAAATAAATGAATATATAACTAGATTTCATACCTCAAGTTTAAAAGAAAACATTAAACCATAATAATCTTCACTTTCATAAAATATTTTTTAAAATGTGTATTTAAAAAATGCATACTTTAGCATGCTCAATATATACTGTGAATTTAAAAAATGAATTAAATCAACATTACACAAGCTTACCAAATTTCTGCAGTTGACACAAGAACCTGTTTAAATTCAGCATCTGATCAATGAATAAAAACATGCTTAACTAAAAAGGTAACAGAAAAGAACATTAACAAGGAAATAACAATTCAAGTTTTTCTAATGCAGTAAATGTTTGAGACAATAATACATATACTTCATATTATTCCCCCTCCCTTTTCTTGTTTATATATCAGGCTGCATCAAGAACATTACCTGCATTGTTTAAAAGTAAATAACAGGTTTTTAGAATTATACTGTAGCAATTCAATGAAGTGTTAGTAAAAACTTTTCAATATGTAAATATCTGTTCCAAAAGAGAAAAGGTCTAATCATGCTAATAGTGCATAAATTCATCCTATTATTATTATGATGATGAATTGAAACAGACATTTACAACAAGTTAAAATAACTTCAAATTTAACCACACTAGAAAATTTAACTTAATCAAAAATCTTACCTGAATTTTACCAATTTTATACCAATCCTCCTCCTCAGAGGAAAAAAGTGCCCTTCTGGTTGGTTGGTTCCCAGGTTCATGTTGAGAAGCTGTCAATACATCACACAGGGCAGAAGTCGCAAGTGGTACACCTACATTTAAGTAATATTCAATACTTGTCAATAGTCAGTGGTAGATTCTGTTTATTTTAACATGCCCAAGAACATGAAGAAGCAAGTTTCATTTTTTTTTTTTAAATAAGCTGAATTTAACTTGAAAAGCATCAGATGGTATTCATTTTTTATGAATGTTTTCTCATAATTTTACAATTACAACAATTTGCAAACATTTTAACACATGAGTCAATCCCACAGTATACCACTACCAGCAGATAATAAAATCAATTTACTTACATGAATACTGCATCTTGTTCATGGTAAAACCATCAGATGAAGAAGGCTTAATTTCAAATGCCTCATTTGGTCTGATAGCTGAAGTACAAGTAATATCATGGAACTTCTCTATCTTTACTGGTATAATAGCTGACACTGCAGTTGGAAATCTGACAATTTTTGTAGATTGTAATGAGACAGGGCTCCTCAAAAGCTGTTTTTCTGAAACACCCCGTCTAGGCGAAGGCAAACTCAAACTCACTCTTTCACTACTCTCTTTCATTTTTTCCGTTAAACTTTGTACTTCATTGCGCAACTTGATCACCTTCTCCACTGCCCTGTAACACTTTACACAGACACCATTTTTCTCAATATCAGAGTTTTCAAGCGACCCTATCACTTTTCCAATGCTCTGAAGTCTGTCCTTCGTTAATTTTAATTTGACGTTTGTGCATTTCTTTACGATAATATTTCCAGCCCCGTCTGTCTCTTTCGTGACAAAACAAAACCCACATATCACACAAATGTTTCCGTGGAAGTAAATTCGACGAGGTGTTGATGGTTCTGTCATTCTTTCTAAAGGAATTAAAGCGGATAACTATACGCACTGTCATGACTGTGTCTGTCTTCGTGACTCCATGGGCGCCGCCATTTTTGTATTACTTCGGTACTCATCAAATGCACTTTACCGGTACGTACAAATTACGTGGAAATAGCACGTGCTCCTCCTATATAATAGAGTCACGCGTCAGCGTGACGATTTCGTTAAAACGGCAATAAAATCCAAAAATAACCTATTTTTTGACTTCCTCGTCATTTTTCATGTTAATAAACTTCGTTTACTTAACTTAACGAAGTTTATTAATCAGAATTTTCTGGGTTTCCAAAACAAACCTGTATGAGGCGCCGTTTTGGTATTTACTGCCAAAAAGTGATATCACCTATTCGAATAGGTGATATCACCTATTCGAATAGGTGATATCACCTATTCGAATAAGTGATATCACCTATTCAAATTGAATAGGTGATATCACCTATTCGAATAGGTGATATCACTTATTCGAATTGGTGATATCACTTATTCGAATGGGTGATATCACTTATTCGAATAGGTGATATCACCTATTCGAAATGAATAGGTGATATCACCTATTCAAATAGGTGATATCACCTATTCGTGCTGAATAGGTGATATCACCTATTCGAATAAGTGATATCACCTATTCGAATAAGTGATATCACCTATTCGAATAAGTGATATCACCTATTCAATTTGAATAGGTGATATCACCAATTCGAATAGGTGATATCACCTATTTGCATTTCTTACAACAATAAATAATGAATGCTCCCTTCCTCAAGATTATCTACATTTTCATTGGAACCAAGCAAATTCGGGCTGCATTAGGGTCTGTAAGTCTCGTCACGTGCCTCGCGAGATTTTTCGATAATATTAACTTCCGGGTACCTCACACATGGAGATGCAAGATGTGTATTGCGTTATGCATGTTTATGGTTTACACAAAGCGTATAAGGAAAGTTAAGCAGTTGTACAAAGCCGAAGGGTTCTCCGACTTACGATGGATAAATTGAGGGTCGTAAAAGCTTGGGTGCGAGCAAGTAGGAGGAGAATTTCAATCGAAGAACAGGTAAACAAGTCAGAGAATGTCACCTGTTTCTTGGGTATTCTTGGGTGAAATAGAAGTCTTATATTATACATTTATATCTGATTAGAATATTTTTGTTATCATCATTACAACTAATTTATTAACAGATTTTTCTTGAAATCGAGGATAATGATGTTATTACCAGCTGATTAAGGAGGAGTAGTGTAAGTGTCAGATGGGTACGAACGTCATCTTGTGACAGCATCACCTTTGTTTGGATAAATAATTTGTTCAGAATACGCTTCATTTATCAACAGAAATTAAGCTGTTGCATGTCAGTGGGTCTAGTTTTATAAGTATTCAATGTTTGAAAGCACTTATCAGGTCCAGTACAATCTTTTGATTTAGCTATATAGCTTTATTAAGCTATTCAGAATAGATAGAACGTTCTATCGTTAAAATGATATTGTCCTACGGACCCGGTTTAACGATAGAATTTGTTCCGTGTATTCGCAATGTAGCAAAATAAACACGGGCGATAACTCGAATTCTCTGCATTTTGTATGAAGAATCCAGAGAGTTCCGAATGTCAACATGGCGTTAAATTTGAAGCGAGGAAAAAACGTTGAGAAAATGAGTTGAATTTTCGTATATATATGGATTAATTTGTAGGTTAAAAGGCATATACAATCTCAAAAATGTTTGTTATGATTAATTTGGTAGTTATTTTCAATGCAACTCCTTTTGTATTCTTCAAAATCATTTCGGAGTGGATCCACTCCGATTTGCTACGTTGCAAGTATATGGGACATATTCTAACTGTGGTGAGGGCTTGTCCCGAGACACAGTTAGATTATTCTAACTATATTCAGAATAGCTTAATTTAGCTATTTTATATCAGTTTTTCTTAAATGTGTACTTTTCTCAGCATGCACAAAAAGTCGCACCTTGGTGCAGTGATGATACTCAACCTTGAACTCATCTGAAATTGATGCATTATAAAACTCACTCATTAAAATCTCCTTGCATTCATGTAATAATTTTTAGGCCCAAATACTGTACAGCAGTCCTCAAAATACTGGAATTTGGGTGAAAATACTGTACATTGTTCATAAAAAACTGTAAAAAATATCAACCAAAAATCAATGTAAGAGGTTCATTTTTAGCTCTTCTGAGCCAAAGGCCCAAAGAGCTAATGCTATGGCCATTTGTGCGGTGTGCGTAAACTTTTTAGAATATGGGCCATAACTCAAGAACCCTTTGGCCAATTATTGTCAAATTTGTCACAGGGTATCCTTGGGCCAAGGGCTTCCGTTTATACTAAAACTAGGGTTGTGACCCTTAAACAAGGGGAGATAATTAGGAAAATAGAAACAAATTAAAGAGACTTTGTACTCAAAGTTCTAAAAGTTTTTAGGCTACATGCGCAATTGATACAGTTACTTCTTCAATGAAATTATAAAGGAGGCCAATTATGGTCAACAAGATAATTGATTGGTAATAATTCAGTACAATGAGAAGCAATCATACTTATCCATGCCTCAATGCACACAAGGTAGTGGACAGTTACTCAAATAATAGAAATTTATCTTTTGCTTAAAAGTATTCAAAAGTTGCAAAGTTGGAGATATCTTTGATTTTGCTTGTTGTTTCGATAGCCCATAGCACATATATGAATGGTCAAATACATGCGACTTTTTGTCTATTTCTTACCAAAATAATTTTTGTGAAAAACTGCATATAAATAGCTAAATTAAGCTATTTTGAATAGCTTAATAAAGCTATATAGCTATTTCAAGCTATATAGCTAAATTAAGAGATTGTACTGGACCTGCTTATTTCCCAACGATAAGACTTTCTTTATATATTCTGCAAATTCTCTCTGCATTTATCATTGAAAAAAATTCATATGACTGCAATTATATGACCATACTCTTCAGTTTAGAGAGCATGTTAAAGAGGATATTTTGGTTAAAGTTTTGGTCTGTTAAGGTTTCAGTCTGTTTCAGTGTTTGAAATATTCTTTCATCTTACACAATTGTATACATTAAAATTTATTTTATAGCTAAAGTACAAGAGAACTGCAGCATGTAAGACTACATGTACATCGACTTTGAATAATCTACCTGGTATATCCTCAAAAAGGCAACTCAAATACAGGTATGAAATTGATGTCACAAAATAAGTTTTTGGACTTGCATTTACTCTTATAATTCATATACATATAAAGCATATAAAAAATAGAAAAGAATTAAAGGTTCATCAGGTGACAGCTCAATCATGTATGGAATATTATTAGGCCAAATAAAAAAATATGTGTGGTTCCCGTTACCCGACCGTCGCTATTTTAGATCCCCAACCCTTAACTTTTTTCTGGCAATTTTCATATTTATTTTCCGGAATTTTCCGTGATTTCCGTCATCCACTTCGGTATTAGTTTTAGTTCCAGCAATGGCGACCTCCATGCAAAAATCGTTTCAACACGTAGTGCAAGTGTTTGATGGTGTTAAATCTAAAGCAAGCTAGCATGGCGCAGCAGTATACCTTTTTCCAGCGCCATGTTTTTTGTTTGTTTGTTTTTTGGTTGCCAAAATTAAATAAATATGCCCAAGAGTGGCGAGATTCAATTAGTTGCTCTGTTTACAGCTGGTTTATAACAAGTGCATGCTGATTAGTCCCTTTATTATTAATGCACGCAAAGGTGTGAAGTCAGGATAGGAAATCACTTCTCGCTTGAAAGCACACAGACAGCTGGCCAGGTAACGTTTTTTGGAGTTAGAGGGAAGATAACATGAGAAAACATTTATTTGATTGCATTGATTATGCAAGAATTAGCCCAATGTGTAAGATAGATTAACTTGTAAATTATTAAATAATTTATATCAGGATCGTTTCTTTTAAACCGAAAGTAGAAAAAAAAACAGTTCATGAGGAAACGTGAAAAAGAAGACTGCTGATTTCACCTGAATAAAGTCAACTTGCAAAACACCAATATATATGAGAAATGAGCTTGGAAGTATGAAGTCTTCAATGAGGCAAAAAGGTTTCATGAAAGGATTTAAAATTTTAATAATATTAAATATTTGTAATTCTGACGAATTTGAATCATTCTATGTCATCTTGCTTAGGTGATTTATTTTGTTTTAAACATTACTGTACAAAGTATAGGTGTCACATTCTTTTCCTCTGACAGCTCTTAAAAGTTTATCGTTCAAAATTTATTATTAAGTAAAATAAGAATTATTCTGGATAAAAGTAATTAATTTCATTTATAAACACTGATTTTAAACAAAAGGATGTTCACCTTGGACTTTATTTTTTACAAAAAGAAAAGATTGTGTTTTCATTATTTTTATGCCCCTGGATCGAAAGATCCCGAGGGTATATTGTTTTTGTCCTGTCTGTCTGTTTGTCTGTTTATCTGTTTGTCTGTTTATCTGTTTGTCTATCTGTCTGTTGTCAATTTTAACCTTGCCCATAACTTTTGATTGGTTGGAGCTATGACTTTCATATTTCACATGTGTATTCTTTGTGACAAGACCTTTCTTTGGGTACCATCATATTTGACCTTTTGACCTTGACGTTGGAGTTTGACCCACTTTTGCAAAATTTTATGAGACTTTAACCTTGACCATAACTTCTGAACAGTTGGTGCTTGGGGTTTCGAACTTCACATGTGTATTCTTTGTGACAAGGCCTTTCTTTGAATACCAACAACTATGACCTTTTGACCTTGACCGTAGAGTTTGACCTACTTTTGAAAAACTTTAACCTTGGCCATAACTTTTGAACGGTTGGAGCTAGGGCTTTCATACTTCACATATGTAATCCTTGAAACAAGACCTTTCTTTGGATACCAACAACTTTGACCTTGACCGTGATGTTTTACTTACTTTTAAAAAACTTTAACCTTTGCCATAACTTTTGAACAGTTGCAGCTAGGGCTTTCAAATTTAACATTTTTTATCTTTTGGCCTGGATTTTGACTTGCATTTGAGAAACTTTAACCTTCGCCATAAGATGCCATATGGGGGCATCAGTGTTTCACAAACACATCTTGTTGATTTAAAAATATTTGTTTCATATTCATAACTAGGGTGCCCCCTACCAATGTTGACTAGTATATTTCACGCCACATCGAAATGCCACTTATTTTCTCCTTCACTCTGTTCATCCACAAATAAAACATTTCTTTTCTGAACCATAGTTGGAAAAGACTGAATTCAAAATAAACAAAACATTTATTAGTTATGATTTACATACTCAGCTCTTCACAAAATATTTCTGTTTTTTCGCATTCTATAATATACAATTTTAGATTTTATATACCTGTATAAAGTTTAAGACTTCCGCAGCAGATTCCGATGGAGAAATCATGATCTATATTTAAGATTTAATGTATAATGCTTAAGATATCCATTAATTTTACTTATAATATACAATTCTGAAATTAATATCATCCTTTAAAAACAAGGACAGCACTTATCATCTTCGTAAAAACTTAACATTCTAAAAAAAGAAAATATAATATCCAAATAACAGTTAAATAATTCAATTTGCTCATGCTGATTTTCTTCAAACATTGTATTTTCTGGATGAGTATGAACTCGAATGAATAGAATCAGCAAACAACTGTTTAAATACCCAAGACATTTTATTCACACATTAAAGCACATATCTAATCCATATGCTTAAGAGAAAACATATCTAACACTCTACACATAAAATAGTTCACTTATGCTAACGAAAAGAAATAGGTATTATTTGGAAAAATTTAGAAAATCATTTTGTTAAAAAAAAAAAAAATAATAAAAAATCCCTACCCATCTTCCCTATTTTTTTTGGAGGTGTAACCAGAACCACACATATTTTTTGTTTGGCCTTAACGCTGGGTTTCCAAATGTCAAAATTAAGGGTATTCGATATATTCCATACAAGTTGTCAATCATTTATAAGTGATTTGTACAGAGGTTCATTTGCATATAAATGTTGTTAACATTGTTTTACTGTCTTTATTAACTTGTAATACTAAATTTTATAAATTGACAAATTCATTCTTTTTAGAAAGTGCATATAATTTGGAAAAGAGACCATCAATCCACTGGGGGGTATCGCATGAAAGCAATGATTATAGAATATTGTAAGGTTGGAGGATCGAGTTATAGTACAACAGGCAGGCAAGTAATGGTACTTTGTTCTGGAAATTTTTCGCCCCAGTTAAGTTTTATTTTTCTCATTCTGCCCTCCTTACAAGTAGGTGAATTTAAAACGGGACAAATTCGAAGAAGGCAGCATATATCTTTTAAACACAAATGTGTCTGATCAAATTTTAAAAGGGCAAAATTGTTTTCAAGGGTGAAAGAGTGAATATTTTAAAAATTAGAATGGGGTGAAAATATCCAATAATACAGGTTATATGTATTAAAACAGTACATATGCATTTCTCTTTTCTTTAAAATGAAAATAATTTGTTCTGTAAAAGGACAAATTTTGTTCTGATTTGTATCAAATAAATAAATATGTGCCAGATTTATTATTTTGCAGGCACCTAAGATACCATCAGTTGTGCGTCAAGCTGTGCAAAAATTCTATGTCATGTTACAGAATCTTTCTTAAATACAGGTATATGTCTGCTCATCTGGCAATCTTAGGACATCACTGGATGGTTTTGTTTAAAAAGATTACAGAGTTAACACACACTTCCAGCATGAAGACCAGCCAGTTGCCTCACCTGTCCTGACATTGTTAAAGGTAAATGGCCCTTTCAGAAAAGGATCTGACAATGCAAAGGCTTGCTAATCAATTAAAGATTTCTATTTACTAATAGGTAATTAATTTGAATTTCTGTAGCTTAAAAATTTAATGATGTGAATTAAAAGAAATATTTTAATCAAAATTATTTTTATTTCAGTACTTTGTGACAGTGAAAAGACATGGCTTTAAATTACTGCATCAGAGATCAATCCAGGTTATAAATCTGAGGAAAACAATAAAGCATCACTTCGAGCTACTTATATCACTGCCTTAATAAGTTGTCTGCATGTGTAACTAACAAAGGACAGTGACCAGTTGTACCTATGATATCAGAGGGCATCCTGAAAAACACTCATCACTAAGAATAGAAAACTTCAAATGACTTTTGTATCAATCCTTTTGAATTTCATCTGGCTTGGAATTTCAGTAGCCTTTAGCATCCTTCAAGCATTTCATGAAGTACATGTACCAATTTGCAGGTATAAAATGTTTGAAACAGATTGCTTGTCCCAAATAAAAAAAAGTAAATTCTCTGCCAATTAATAGTGTCATAAGCAGTTGATTGATATCACAGTTCCACTGGCATAGTATTTGTAGTTGAATGGTGCCATTTTTAAGAAAACTTTTCACAAAAACCTGGAAAACATCAGATGGAAAGGAGCATCTACAAGAAAAACAGTGAACACTTTCTTGAATATTAACAATGATATGTCATGTCCATTTACATCCTTTATATAAACTAATTAACCAAATCATAGAGAATTATGTACAAATTTGTCCTTTTGTGTATTCATAGTGTATTAAATTGATTTTACTAATTTATAAATATTTATGTTTTTCACAGTCATTAACATTTACAAATAGAAGTACATATAACATGAAAATATTACATGTTTAGTAGGATAACGTGAAATTGTTATACCACAAAAACCATCGCTGACCTCGCCTCGGTCAGCAATGGTTTTTAAGGGGTAAGAATTTCACATCACCCAAAATAAACAGGTAATATTTTTCTTGTTATAGAATGCATTTTAAAGAAAACAACAAGGTGAAACGAACGTGCAAACATTCTGCACAGTTAACATTTTTTATTACTATATATACTGTTACCCGTAGTCATGCATTTTCAACCATTGGGATGTAATGTCTGGCATGCAGTATGGTAATAGTACTTGTTAACAAATGTTTTTTAAACCAATCAAATTTGACTATTTAACATGAAAGTGTATAACAAATTTATCTAGCATAATGGTGTTGTAAGTAACCATGGAATGTGAGCTTGTGTGAACTTGATCCTGAATTATTAAGTTTTGAATATTGTAATAAAGAATTGTGCAGCCTAAACTTTAACTTGTACCTGATTTAAATGGAGTTCCGTCATTAACAAGTTGGAAGTTGTTACACTCTCCATGAGTATAATAACTGGGGGATCTGCTTCATTTGCAGATACATGGATAACACATTCACTCAAAGCGCTGTCCCTTTTTCAGTACCTTGTGCAGCCCTGTAATATGTTATGACAAATGGAGAAAAATGCCTATTTCAAGAAAAAAAAAGTCTGTCTCATAATTGTAGAAGTATTGGAAAAGGGGGGGGGGGGGGTGGTGGTCATGAAACTTGGCAGTTAATACAGTTTGTATGTGTAAATGAAAAAAATGCTTTCTTCTTTGTAGAATAAAAAATAATTATTTTTTGAGTGTATGTGACCATTTTTATTTCTGAATAGACAGGGTAGCCTACAGAATGACCAATTTTGAGCTGACCATTTTTATTTATTGTAGTAATTAAATTAAAAAAAAATGTGTTTTCTACAAAGATCATATGTTATCGACGTGGTATTCAACTTTGTATTCCCATGGTCGATGCATTTGGGTACATCTATTTTTTTATTTGCTTTCAATGACATCGCATTCAATATCCCAATCTCATGTATACCTGTCCAATACTCCAAATTATACCATATTGTAAGCTAAATTAATGCTTTAAATTTATGAAACCAATCTGTAGATAAGCGTGCCTTTTGAATACAGACGATTTTAGAATAAAAACGATTTAATTTTCCCTTTATGCTTAAGTATGTTGGCTAATCTTGGCCCCCTCGGAATAGCTTGTGTTTACGTAATTATGTAATGAAAAAATAAAGCAATTAAACGCTATTTACCTGCATCTATCAATCCATTTTCTCCTCTTCTTTGCAACAATCGGGAATCAAAACAAACTACAAGTTTAATAATTCCACTGCGATGCTTACAACTTAAGTAATCCATTGTCTCCAAGAACGCTCAGGTACCCGGGAGTTATAAAACGAAAGGGAAAGTCAACGAGACTTACAGACCCTTTGAATTTTCCTATAGTATACATGATAGATAAGTGTAATAAATATAATTTGTGAGCAAAACAAACTACAAATTCTACTGGGCTGCTTAAAACTAAATGCGAAGCTGTAATCCATTGTCTGCAAGAATGGTAAGTTATAAAACGAAAGTGAAAGTAAATGAGAATTAAAGGCTATAGTCTTGGGAGCAGTTGTTATTTCATAAATAATTTGAATAGGTGATATCACCTATTCGAATAAGTGATATCACCTATTCAAAATGATTAAGTGATATCACCTATTCGAATAAGTGATATCACCTATTCGAATAGGTGATATCACCTATTTGATTTGAATAGGTGATATCACCTATTCGAATAAGTGATATCACCTATTCAAAAGGAATAAGTGATATCACCTATTCGAATAAGTGATATCACCTATTCGAATAGGTGATATCACCTATTCGAATAGGTGATATCACCTATTCGAATAGGTGATATCACTCATTCAAATTGAATAGGTGATATCACCTATTCGAATAGGTGATATCACTTATTCGAATAGGTGATATCACCAATTGAATAGGTGATATCACCTATTCGAATAGGTGATATCACTTTTTGGCAGTAAATACCAAAACGGCGCCTCATAAACCTGTTACTTTCTGTTCATTGACGGCATTCCAAAGGTTGCTAGTCACGTGGCCCGAGCCTGCCTTCTGATTGGTAAAAAGGTAAGTTACGTCATTTGAAGTTGTAAACACGAAACAGCTGATTTTACGAGTTTTACTATGCCCTTTGTCTATGACGATATTTATGAAGTTTGCAAAAACAGAAGATTTCTGATAGATTGGCTTCAAACTAAGGGACTTTTAGGAGACTTTCATGGTGTGTGTGACATTTGTGAAGAAGGGACATTTCGTCTTGTTGAAGATAGTTCTTACAGCAAAGACGGTGTAGTATGGAGGTGCTCAAACCGCAAGTGTAATAAGAAAATATCGGTCAGGGAAGGATCGTGGTTTTCAAAATCACACCTGTTACTGGAACAGATTGTAAAACTTACTTATTATTGGATTTATGACTTACCTGGCGAATTTATTTCACGCGAGTTAAAATTAGGCAGCGAACATACAATAGTGGACTGGAGAAATTTTGCTAGGGGGTATGCTTATGCATTTTGCGACAAGATAGCGAGAAAATTGGAGGGCCAGGTAAATCTGTGGAAATTGACGAGAGCAAATTCGGTAAGCGAAAGTATCATCGTGGAAAAAGAGTGGATGGTGTCTGGATTTTCGGTGGCATTGAGAGAGAATCCAAGAGATGCTTCTTTGAGGTTGTGAGTGATAGAAGTGCAGCCACACTTGTTCCAATTATTCAGAAATACGTGGAGCCTGGAACCACAATTTATTCTGATTGTTGGAAAGCGTATTCCTCGTTAGAAAAGGAAGGATATACCCATTTGACGGTAAACCATTCAATAGAGTTCAAGAACAAGGAAACGGGTGCATGCACCAATTTAATCGAGTCAACGTGGAATGCGGTAAAAAAGTCATTGCCAAAAACTGGAACTCAGAAACATTTTTATGACGGTTACCTTGTGGAGTATTGTGTGCGCAAAAAATACTTGCAAAATGTTGACGACAAATTTATTACATTTTTGGACTTGATCAAAAGAGTGTACACCTGTAAGAGGAGGCTTCCACTAAAACCCAAAAATGACGATTTCAATAGCAGTTTAGATTTATTTGACTAAGGTGAGTTTCTTAGTTTTTAATTTTACAAGTATTGGGGGCTGCCGTCCCCAAACCCCCGCTTAACAATGCTACAAACCGATGAGCTACCCTTTTTTCGCTTCCCTACAAAACAAAATGGCGTCGCCCATCATAGTTGATACGTTGCTAAGTATTTACGCCGCGCCATATCACGCGCGGATCTGGAATCAAAATGGCGGCCGTACCGGTAAAGTGCAGTCTATCCATGAAGGGACCTGTATTTTAATCAGATTGGACCAAAATTTGACCAAAAATCGGGAAGTTTCTAGTATGCCGGTCCCCAGCATCACGCGATTGCGCATGAGCAGTTATTTCCCTTGCCGTTGCTATGCAGA